AACAGTGAGGACGGACACCAATGCCTTCGAAGCTTTGTGTGTAACTAGCTTATTTCTCCTTTCACCTTCTCCTCTCTTTTCCCCTGACAGTAATTTGAAGAGTAAGGAACAAGGGACAGTCAAGGGACAGAAGCTGAAGTAGATGTTAATATTGTTTACTCTTTTCCAGGCATAGGTAGCTGAAAGCCCAAGGACTGCTCTTTTCTGCATTGCTTCAAGGATGTCAAAACTTTTGGCACTGTAACAAAATGTTATGTAAAATGTGTTGGGCCACATTCATAGGTGTACTGGAACACATGAGGCCTGTGAACCATAGGCTGGATATGTCTGGGCTATAGCATTTATAACTATATGAATATTTAAGTGATACTAATAAATAAAGAAAATCACTTTCTGTATTTGTACTATTAGGAAGATGTTGACATAAAAAGCAGGTGAAAACATGATTGCATAGCAAACCAAAATAATATACAAGCCTATTAGTCATAGTACCCAGATCATGGTTGGAGTCATCTTTCAAACCCGAAGGGATGTCTCTGTTGACCCACGTGTCACAGTAACAGATTCAGAGTAGGATTTAGGGTTAGACTGAACCTGCCTCCAAGAAGTCAGAACACATGTGGCAGCCCCAGGATAGGAGCTGACCAGCCTCTACTTTTGGTATTTTTTGTTTGTTTGTTTGTTTTGCTTTGTTTTGTTTTATTTTCATTTTTAGAGTATTGTTTTGTTTTGAGTCAGGATCCTGCTGTGAAGCCTAGAATAGCCTCAAATTCTCCTGTCTTAGCCTTCCAAGCACTGGGCGTTTAGTCAGGTAACCACCATGCTTCTCTCTTGCTTTTTTTTTTTTAATTTTATTTTCCAGTTTAAATTTAGATAAGAAACAAGGTTGCTTCACATGTCAGTTCCAGGTCCTCTCCCTTTCCCTCCCCTCCTCCCGTGCCCTCCCACCAACCACCCCCCCCCTCTTGCTTTTTACAAATCTTTATTTGGGTAGAAAAACACTGGCAGCTTTTTCTGTAATTTCAAGCCAGGCCTGCTTCTTTCGATAAGCGTGACTGGTGACAAAGCAGTTATAGGCTTTCTTCAGTTAGCAGTGGTCACCATGCACTGTAAGCTTGGCCTGCCATGGGAAGACACAGAGAAGTACGAGGCAAAAACAAAGAGGTGTGAGGTATGGTTGCAGTTCTTGGTGCCAGAATTGGTCCAGTTGTGGAAACATAACTTAAACATGAAAATAGGATAAGAGAGAAGCTACTTTGCAAATGTGGTTGCTCGTATCTGTAATCCTAGCATTGGGGAGACGGAGGCAGGAAAATCAGAAGTTTGAGGCCAGCCTGCACTACATGAGACCTTGCCTCAAAAACTCAGGCTTGGGACTCTGAACTGGATGGTCTTTAGATCAGTTGAGAGAAGCAGTGACTTCACGCCAGAAGGACAAATGAAGCAAGCAGAGAAGGCATTTTGTTCTGGGAAGATGGATGGGGCCAGCTTAGAGTTGAGACTTCTGGAAAATCAGTGGTTGAAGATGAAGCTAGCAAGTGTTTGTAATCAAGATGTAGCTGTCTCTTCAGCTCAGAAGCTTGTGTAGTAAGACAAATCTGGTGGCCAGATAGAGGCATATTAAAGGATCATTCAGGTAGACCGGGTTCCTATATTTGCTTTAGGGTTACTTTTGAGAAGTAATAATTTCAGCTGGGTGATGGTGGCACACAGCACTTGGGAGACAGAGGCAGGTGCATCTCTGTGAGTTCAAGGCCAGTCTGGTCTACAGAGCAGTTCCAGGACAGCCAGAGCTGTTACACAGAGAAACCCTGTCTTGGAGGGGAAAAAAAGAAAGAAAAGAAAAGTAATAATTTCAACATGGGAGTGGCAAAAAGAACAACTAGAGAGTTGAATACAAGAGACATTTTGCTGTTTATGGTTATTTGCATTATATGGTTATTTAATTACTTTTTAATTAAAAAAAAGACATTTTAAAGGAAGGAGAAATCTATCAAGACTGAGTATCCTTTGCCTGTTGAGGTAATCAAGACTCGTTGAGGTAAATCCACAGTTTGGGAGCCAAGCAACTAGATAAATACTTTATTAACAGAAATGGAAATGCTAGAATGGAGGATTAGATTGGCTATGTTTCAGGGAAAACACAAAGAGTTCATCTTTGAAAGATCATCTTTGATGTAGCAGGAGACGGAAATTTATTGTAAGAACATTCAAGTGGGAACTTGGTTCATGGTAAACAGGTAGGAGTTGCCTGCATAGAGATGACTGCTTCAACTGTCTGAATGAATGATGCCTTCCAGAGGAGACAGAACACTGGAAGCACCAACATGTTAGAGGAGGAAGAAGAGCTGCCTCAACCCTGTGTATTTGGATTAGCCACAGGGAGGAAGAAGGCAGCTACAGAGCCACATTAGTGCAGATAAGAGCATCAAGAGGGAAGTGGGGGTCAGCAGTGTCAGATGCTGCAGAGGTGGAGGAGGACAGGGATGAAAGGGCCACTGGGTTAGGCCGTTAGGAAGTTTTCACCTGAAGAACACAGGCCCATTGTATTTGAATATGCCAGGGGAGAGGATTAAGAGTGTGTGTTGAAGAAAAGAGCATTGATTTACAGGTAAGAAGGAAAGAGTGAAGAGAGAGCTACGACTGGTACTCCTCCTGCCTTGCATGCACACACACTTGAAGGCAGAAGGGAGAGGTTAGGCCAGTAATTCATTTGGACAAGTTTATTCAGTACCAGCTAAAGACTTATGTCCAAATAAACATAGAGAATCAATAGCTTCAAGGAAAAAGAATGGCAGAAACAGGATTCTAGAGAAAAATGGAGACTAGCAGAACCTGAGACTGACCTTGGAATTCTGGACAAAATAGGTGGGGATCTGCTGAAGAGAGGGAGGATCAGGACAAGTGGTGGGGTTAAGAGGGAGATGTTAAACAAACACTAGAAAATGCTGGGGGCTCAGAGAGGAGCAGGAGCTAGCTGGTTAAGTATCAGTGAAGCTTGACAGTCTCCACTTTGTCACTGCTTTTGTAGGAAATGGTGGAGCTGGGGAGATGGCCCATTCAGTGTGACACATAAGCTTGAGGACTTGAGTTCCATCCTTAGCAGTCACCTGAAAAGCCAGGTGTTTGTAACCCAAACACTGGGGAGGTGGAGACAGGAAGATCTCGGGGCTTGCTGGCCAGCCAGTCTAATTGAATCGGCGAGGCAAAGATTCACTGAGATTTGTCTCCCAAAATATGGTGACTGAGGAAGACACCTGTTATCAACCTCTGGTCTCTCTCTCTATATATGTATGCACACCCAGGCATGTGTATGCATACGAACCCACACATATTCATATATGCATGCACACTCAGACATGTATATATGCACATGGACACACACATATTCATGCACGAAATGGTTATCAGAGGCAGCTTAGAAGGTAATTGGTGTTTGTTTCTTCTTGTACCTTTAAGGGTTTTCCCTTTCTTATCACTGTAGTGTTTTTTCTTGTGTGTGTGTGTGTGTGTGTGTGTGTGTGTGTATGTGATAACATTTAAATTTTTTCTAATATCACCATAATTATAAATTTTATAGCTACTCCAGAAAGATCTTAAATAGTTCCAAGATTATCTTGGTTACAGATATGTCAGTATGGAATCATAGTTCTTTCTTTCTCTCAACTTCCACTGTGTGTGGGTGTGGGTGTGTGTGCACACAGGTACAAGTTGACATCTGCGCCTCTTTTAATCACTTTCCACACTTTTTTCAGATGAGGTCTCTCAGTGAATCTGGAGCTTACCAATTAGGCTAGACTGGCTGGCCAATAAACCCCAAAGAATTCAAGAATTCCCTCCCTCCCTCCTTCCCTCCCTCCCCCCTCTCTGTATGTGCGTGCATGCGTGCGTGCGTGCGTCTGTCTGTCTGTCAATGCTAGAAATCATGCAATCATGTCCTTTATGCCTGCATTGTGAACACTTTATCTAGACTGAGATATCTCCCGAGCATCTGAAATCTCAGAACTTTCTAGAAATTTTTATTAATGTATAGGGTTGACAAAATAGGTGAGCAAGGAACCCATGAATGGTGCTACCTGACCCTGTCTGAAAAGTGATCCATGTTTTAAGCCAGCTAAACACCAAATCAAATCATCTATCTACAACCCTATAGAATTCAAGAAGATCAGAATGCCAGGTGGTAGGGAGTATGTCTCATTCAGAACACAGAATATCATGAGAGTCCCTGTGATGGGATTTGTGTAGGAACATGGTTCTTAAGAGTGGTAAACCTGGTTATTAGGTTTTATTGAGAAGGCTAAGCTAACTACACAGAGGAGCTAAGTATCTAACACTTACCTGGATACTTGATAGATGCAACCTGAATAGGAATGAAGAATTGGTTTCTGTCGCAGGTATAGTTCCAAGAAATAAATGATGGACTAAGTCCCAATTCTGTATCTGATTCTTGACTCTATTCCTGAGTTTCCTATCTTCCTAAGGCTGGTAGGTTTAACGGAAGAACATGGGAATCATTAGTCTCACAAACAAGGAGACTGGAATGTACTTCTGAGTGGAATTGATTTGCTTTTTCAAACTTCTGCATTTTTAAGTCATTATGCATGCATGTGTGTGCACATGAAGACCAAGAAATGTGTGGAGACCAGAAGACAACACTAGGTGTTAGGCGCCACTTTTGGCCTTGTTTGAGAGATGGTCTCTTGTTCATTGTTGCATATGTCAGATTAGCTAGCCTGTGAGGTTCTAGAAATTTTCCTGTCTATGTCACCCATCTTGGTGTGGGAGCTTTGGGACCACAGTTGCATGTGACTGTGCCCGGCTTTCATGGGTTCTGGGGATCTGGATTCAAGCGCTTATGCTTCACAGCAACCCTTTACCCACTAGTTCATCTCCCTTCTTTTGAAGTGGAAGGACAATCTGACCAGAGCCTAAATGAATCAATGGAGTTTATTCATGGAGGAGTAACTCAAATATGTATTTTCCCTTTCCTTTCTGCATAGGTATGGCCTCACATGTGCAAGTTTTCTCCCCTCACACCCTTCAATCAAGTGCCTTCTGTAGTGTGAAGAAACTTAAAGTAGAGCCAAGTTCCAACTGGGACATGACTGGGTACGGCTCCCACAGCAAACTGTGCAGCCAGAGCAAGAACATACCACCTTCTCAGCCAGCCTCCACAACCGTCAGCACCTCCTTGCCAATCCCAAACCCAAGCCTACCTTACGAGCAGACCATCATCTTCCCAGGGAGTACTGGACACATAGTTGTAACATCAGCAAGTAGCACTTCTGTCACCGGGCAAGTCCTCGGTGGACCACATAACCTAATGCGTCGAAGCACTGTGAGCCTCCTTGACACCTACCAAAAATGTGGACTCAAGCGAAAGAGTGAGGAGATTGAGAACACCAGCAGCGTGCAGATCATTGAAGAACATCCACCCATGATTCAGAATAATGCCAGCGGGGCCACTGTAGCCACTGCCACCACGTCTACTGCCACCTCCAAAAACAGTGGCTCCAACAGTGAGGGTGACTATCAGCTGGTGCAGCATGAGGTGCTGTGCTCCATGACCAACACCTATGAGGTTTTAGAGTTTTTGGGCAGAGGGACATTTGGGCAAGTGGTCAAGTGCTGGAAACGGGGCACCAATGAAATTGTGGCCATTAAGATCCTAAAGAACCACCCTTCCTATGCCCGGCAAGGCCAGATTGAAGTGAGCATCCTAGCCCGGCTGAGCACAGAGAGTGCTGATGACTACAACTTTGTTCGGGCCTATGAGTGCTTCCAACACAAGAATCACACGTGCTTAGTCTTTGAGATGTTGGAGCAGAACCTCTATGACTTTCTGAAACAGAACAAGTTTAGCCCCTTGCCCCTCAAGTACATTCGCCCAGTCCTCCAGCAGGTAGCTACAGCCCTGATGAAACTCAAAAGCCTGGGTCTTATCCATGCTGACCTCAAACCAGAAAACATCATGCTGGTAGATCCATCCAGACAGCCATACCGAGTGAAGGTCATTGACTTTGGCTCAGCCAGTCACGTGTCCAAAGCCGTCTGCTCCACCTACTTGCAATCTAGATACTACAGGTAAGACGTTTTCCGTGGAGATAGCCATAGGGTGCAGGAAGTCCAGTGGCATCCACAGGGATGTAGAGAGTCACTATGGGGAAGTCACAAAACAGCTAGTGATTGCTACCAGAAAGAGGTCTTAATGTGGAGGCTGGAGAGATGACTTAGTGGCTAAGAGCACTGGCTGCTCATACAGAGGGCTTTAGTTTGGTTCCCAGCACCCACATGGCACCTCACAACTACCAGTAAATCTAGTTCCAGGGGATCCATCACCCTCTTATGGATTCCAGACACACACACACACACACACACACACACACACACACGCACGCACGCACGCACGCACGCACGCACGCATGCACGCACACACACACATTCAGGCAAATGCTACTATATACAGAAATAAATAAAAGAGACTTTAATGTAGTTGAAAAATTAGAATACATGCAGATGGGAATGACAATGAGAAGCCAGCTAAGAAGGCATCCAAGTAACATTCTTGGTCTGATCCTGGGAGTTGGAAAGGATTGTGGGAACTAGCTGAAGAGCAGAATGGAGAAGTCAGGCTCTTTGGGATGGAGAGAAGCCAAATAGCTACCGCAGGAAGGGATGTACCAATAGGCACAGGGTAGCGAGATGTTAGACTCCTTTAGGAGATAAGGGTGACCTGCCTGACCAGACCAGAGGATTTGTGAGTTGTACCTGGGACAGGTTCTGGAAACTTGGAGCAAGCATAGGTTTCTGGGGAGTGGTATTGGGGGGGATGTAATAGGTTGAATAGCAGTGTTCTGAGAAGACCGTTGTGTTCCTGTGGAAGAGGCTGGAAGAAGGGAAGACCTTTGTCCTGGGGCCAGTGGCCCCTCCCATGATACATTTATGTCAGGAAACATCTACCCCTGCACCCTATGCACCACTGTTTTGTTTTTTTATTTATAAGGAGAAACCCAAGACTGGATAATTTTGTAAAGAAAAAGGGTTTGTTTAGCTCAAATTCTGAAAGTTCAAGGTCATGATGCTATTACCAGCCTTAGAGTAGATGACCTCACAGTGGTGGAAGCATACATAGAAATAAGAGATTCAAGATTAGGTTCAAGATTTTAAGACAGCTTTTATTGAAGAGAGCTAACTCACGGGCTTATAACCTCAATTCCTTCCAAGGAGAGCACTGATAATGAACTTCTGCTAGACCAACATCACTACCCTGAGGACCATTCTTTGAACTGGTGACCCTTGGGGGAAACAAACTACACTCTAGCAAGAAAACTTGCACATCACACAAGTGTTTGTCTCATTTCTAATATGGGCCTTGCACAATGCTAGCTAGCTCCAAGGCTGTAAACAAGGCCCTGGCCACCCGGGAGTCCCCAGCAGGCTTTGGCATCCCTAGAATCCAGAACAGAGCTGATCCCTACACTCACTAGCTTGTGTGACTTGTGCTCACTGCCTAACTTCTATATATATTCTCATCTCCTGACCTGTGAGCTGGAAGCTGGGGCTTTTCTACCAGTTCTAGGGTACTGCTGAAGCATCACATGCTGTGAGAGAGCCTAGTGCTGTGTGCTGTGTGGGAGACGCAGTATCAAGAGGTGGTGGAAATGGAAAGCAAGGTCTCAGGGTTGTGGAATGGCAGAGGGCTATGCTGGAAGTTAGCAAGAAAAGAAACTCGAAACTGCCATGTACAAGTAGGGCAACCCACATCCAAGAGGTTGACTTGTGGCAGTGATAGGAGAATCCCAGGACTGACGGTGGATGTGCTTTCTCACACCCTCTTCAAGGATCCGGTGGGAAGACTGGACACACTTGAGTTGTGTTAGCCCCGCTGACCTGTGGCCTGTTCTGAAAATGGTCTGTTGGCCTCCCTGTCTTGACTCGCTCCTCTCAGTGAGCCCAGTCTCTGCTTGCGGCACTGCTGCATGTCTCCTCCTGTTCTGTTGTGCTCTCCGACCCTCAGCCCTCAGCCATACCTTCCTCTCTGTCTTGTGTTTTAATCTGACTCAAAGCATGGGCCTCCCCTCTTCTCCATTCCTCTGAAGAGGGATTCCTGAGTTGTAGGAGCTCTTGTCTAGCTCTGAATCTGAAATGGGACAGTGATGGCTTTCTCTGTGAATTCAGATAGACATACTGCCCTCTGCTCTTAAGGGAGTTCTCACAGGCTTCTACATACTTGTGAGGATAAATCTGCCCCTGCTCAATTTCTTTCCCCGTTCAGCCTGGGGGTGGGGGCATGGGCCTACTGCTGGTGCCACCCAGGAAGGTGGAGGCTGGACAATGGGGAACTATACCCTCCTTGGTAGAGAACAACCAGTGTTCTCTTTAGGAGTGCCTGGCCCTTCCTTGAAAGCCGACTCAGAATGGTTCAGTACAGGGAAACATCTTGCCCCAGAGGTTGCTGTTGCTGGAGTGCTCTCTAGTTACTGCAAAATGGAGGTTGTTGCTGCCACTTGGTATTTAGACTTACAAATTCAGGGTGCCAAATGCTATTTCTTCCCAGTTCTTGACCTTCATATGGGAAAAACTGTGCCATGTCAAGGGATGTGTGAAGTTCTGTTAGTTAACCCGTATTGCTCTCAGGGAGCAGAGTCCAACTTCACTGAAGTTTGCTAAAAATTAAGCAAGGAGACTACATTTGATAAGCAACGCATCCTTGTAGCAAAGTGTGACTCGTTACATTTGGGGTTCTGAAGCCTTACTCAGCCCAATGTCTGCCCCTCCTGCGAGGACTCTGCAGTTTACTTTGCTTTCAGGGACCCTAGCTCAGAAAGGACTCTCTGAGCTAGGGTGACAGTGACATTTCCATGGGAACTGGGGCAGGACTAAAGCCTCTACTTGAACTTCATATCCCTCCTCACCAGCTTTAAGGCCTAGTCAGCCATTTGAGTACCTCATGGGGTGGTAAAGGCTGTTTGCTTACTGTTGGGCACTTAGGAGCTTCCTCCTGTCATTCCTCAGCAGGCACAGTCACCTCTACTTCCTGCATCCTTACTTCTCTCTGAGATCCCTTCTTTCTGGGTATCTTTCCTTAGGCTTAAGTGACTAGTACCAAAAATTCTAGGCAGGATGGTTTCCCTCTCCACCAGGGTCTCCATGGTCCTGTGTTCTCAAGGCCAGCTAGCGGGGCAGCCTTCAACGAGGGTCAGGGGCACACACACAGCTCTGGAATGACGCCCAGTTTCCAAATTAGTCATGATACTCTGCCCACCACAGCCTCATCTGAGCCCTGACATGGCCAGTGTGCTGCTACCCAGGTCAGTGGGAGCCTATGAGAACAGTGTCCAGCTTTGACACTGTTTGTCACGGCTGTGGAGACCACACTGCTGATTTTCCTGACTGCTTCACCTTTCACATGGGGAGAGGGGACAAGAGAAACTCTTTGGTTGTTTATCATTAAGCCCTTGTCCTAAAAGAGCTCACTTTCAGAGACATTTTGAGAGAACAGGGGGTGCTTTCTGGCTGCCTGGACAGAGAGGTCATTACATGCTATAGATCTGTCATTCCCAGAGCCTGTCACATGGGCCTTTTGTCCTGCAGGGCCTGACTCTCCCAAGGGGTCTCCTGCCTTGAGTCTGGCACATTGCCACTAGGGACACCTCACTTTCAAAGGGATGAATATGTTCTGTCCCTTCATCATTTTAAATACTACTATGTTAAGTGCCACTCCCATGACCCCATCAGGTATGATAAAAATAGTGTGATATAAAATAAATTTCCTGTTTTCAGCCTGAGGGACCTGGAAAGGAAGGTGGTGGCCTGGAAACCACCTATTTCCCCAGCCGCTAGGGATGTGTGGGCTCTGCTCCAGCGCTGCCCCCAGAGCCCAGGCCTTTCCTCCCTTTCCTCTCAGTGGTCTATCAATAAGGCTGCAGAAAAGAACTTTGTCAAGGGCCAGGGCGAAGCAACGGTGGTGAGTTTGTTAAGTACGTAGGTAGAGAGATAGAGGACAGGGATGTGTACTCAGTGCAGGGAGGGCTTTTCAAGACAGTCACAGCTGACTACATACAATTAGTATGCATCACTGTAACTGACCAGCGTTAAAGATTAAGCAAAGGCTGAAATTTAAGTTTCAAAAACAAGTAAAAACACATGAGTAGCTCTACTTATTTCTCTTAAATTAAAGGTTTTCCTTTTGTAAATGAAATAGTGAGGGTTTTTATGGGGTACATAGTTTAGATGTAGGAGTGAGAGAGGTCTGTATTAAAGGGTAAAGCTCAAAAGTCTTAACATTCTAGCCCTAATTGGACCTGATCATTGTCTGTAACACCCTTATAGGAAGCATCCTTAGAAAAACATGACTATCTCTGTGGGCAATTTTGGCTTTGTTAGTTATTTTGAACTTTCCTGACACTTGGTCATAGGAAAGACAAATTAGACTTTAGAGTGAGGAATGCCTTCTCTTCTCATGCCGCCTTAATCACATTGTCGGTATTTCTAGCCTGCCACAGAACTGCTGTTTGCATTCTGTGAGGACAGCCCGATATGTGGATTTAAGGGAACAGGGTTGCTTTTTCAGGTCTTTTGAGTCTAATGTCGGGGTGGAGGGTGTCTTCCAACTTGACCTATGTCCTGAAGGTCAGCCATGAGGGTACTGTCAGCAGGGCTGGTTCTCAAGCTCTTGCACCTAAGAATCTGGAAAGCTTATATGGAGAGAATTATTTTATCCCGTCCTAAAGCTGCTGTTCTCCTGTGGGAAGGAGGTCCCTGATGCATGGGAGTCTCCATCCTCTACCCTACCGCAGAGACTCTTGAGAAGCCCTGTTCCAGCTGAGAGCAGGCTTCCCCCGAGAGGTCACCTTTCAGGTGCTTGTGCCTAGAAAGAAGAGCACAGTGGCAGGTGACCCTGTCTACCTTGACTACCTCACTAAAGAAGTCCCTGCCAGGTCATTATCGAATTCTACATTGGTACCAAGGTTTTGGTTTTTTAAGTGAGCAATTAACTGGTGCTGGATTATTTCCGCTGTATGACCAGCAAATTAAAAACAAGACCAAATATTAAACTCTGAAAAATACACACACAAAACTAC